ACAGACGACCAAAAAACACATTTTTCATCTTTGTCAAGCTTCTGCGCTGCCATTACTCATCCAATCATATTGATCTGTATGGCAAAGTTAAGCTCTGATCTATTGACTTTAAAATAAAACTAAAACTGGCTCAACCAAGTGGATATCTGCCGAGATATAAGAAGAAATTCGAAAAAAGTCCGAAATTTAACATTTCGAACTTTAAAAAATCTTTAAAAAAAAACTGTACCATCGAAAAAAAAATAATTGCTATTTTTGTGATCTAGGGGTCCAACACTAACAGAATTTGCCATCAATTGCTGGGGAGCACACCAAGAATATTATTTTGTAAACTAGTGTAATCACAATGGACAAAAACAAAAATGAAAACCCACTCCTCACTAATCGCTGTATAAATGTGACCACTCTGCGGATAACGCTTGTGAGACCTTCACAATGTAATTATCATTAATTATAGGGGCATTATTATTGCGACGGCGACATGTTTAATTAGGGATCTTGTTGTGAAGTAGAAAATTACCAAATAGCTGGCATGCTTGTACATTTCCCAGGAATTCTGATAAAATAAATTTTTCCTTAATAATGAAGCTATGGATTTTCTTTGCTCTTAGTAAAAAAAAGTAATGAAAAGGAAGAAATTGCCTTTACTCCCCAAATTCCTTACTATAAAAATATTTTCCATGGATATGTTTTCTTTAAATGTTGTAAGCAATCTCAAAGGACTCTTTTTGAATTATTTTACCAAAATTAAAATGGAAAATCAACAACGTTTTAGAGCTGAAAATTACCTACTTCGATTTTCTGTGAATTAAAACATGCTATTTTCAGCTGACTGTTTGGCGTCTTTCGATTTTCCATTAAGCTCTTTACACATTACGTAGCCCACTTTCTTTCATTGGCTTCCGTGTGCGGTGTTCATTAGCGTTTTGTCGCCTTCATAAGCCAGAAGACCCGATTGAAAGCATTTTCGACGCTTTGATGTAATTTTTACAACATTTCTATTATACCCTAGCTTTTTTTGCTTTTGTTTGTTCGCTCGCATTGCGTGAGCTGCGATACACGAAAAGGTGAAGCTACTTAGTAAACGGGAGCATGAGGTGCCTGACACCCGTATAAATAGCAAATCCATCGAAGGACCAGAGATATCGGCTAACCTGATGATTTCAAGTTGGCTGTGTGCGAAATATTGAACATTGGCAAAAGGTGAAAGTTTAATGAACACATGGCGTGTGCGTATTTGGCAACTGTTTTTGATCAAATTAAATGGCAAATATTTGCTGAAAATATTCAATAAGCCACGTGTCGCATCGGGCGTATGCGCAATATTACAAATATGAAAGATGTAGCCAAAGGAAAGAAGCCATTGAACTTTACCTCTTTAATTTTCAGTAAAAACATTTTTAAAAACCATTTTTATAAATCAGAAAGTTTTTTAGAAATCATAATTCGTACTAATTTGTATCAAGCGGACTTAAAAATTAGTAAATAAAATAAAATATCGTAAAAACAACAGAAAGGAAGCCGATCAATATTTAATAACACTTTAAAAAGTTTCTAAAAGTATGCGTTTTACTCCGAAAGATGACTTTTCTTATTGCATACTTTTGGACACCTTGGTAAAATCCTGTTGATTTCTGCAACACCTCCAAGTAATGTAAATAAAAGATATTTCAAGCAAAATAATTAAGAAATTGATTTGCTACAATACTTTTTCCTACGCCTTCAAGATGAATTTAATTATTTTTCTTCAACTTTTAAGGAAAGTTCGACGGCACTAACTGGCTCAATCACCTGACTGTCAGGCGTCCGAGGTAACCAAATATTTTGAAAACTTCCCAACGGGGCCGCACCTCGTCCTTCGCTCCTTTGCTTCTTTCCTCCTTTGTTGGCCTGGTCGAGAATCGTCGAGAAACCTCCTCCGCTTCTCGTGCATCGCCTTTGCGTACGTGCGTTGCCTTTTTGACTCGCCGACGGCCTTCGGTGGAGTCGAGTCTCCTCGTTGTTCGTCAATCAGCGTCGCAAATTGTTGATTACACCTACATTAAGTCAAGGGCAGGACAACAGTTACAGTTCCAGTTCCAGCTACAGTTATGTGGAGCAGCCGATCGATACTTTCTCTCCACTTTCCTTCCGCCAGCTTTCGGCTTTTGCCTTTTTTTTCTGGCGCTTGCTTTGTGTGACTGCGATTTTGCACACGAAAAGCAAACGAAACCAGAAAACGTGGCACTACATACAAAGTCCATCATGTTCACTTATATACTCGTACACCAACTATATAGTCAGTCGAATGTATATATATATATATCTGTTGGGCCTTAGTTCCTCCTTCGCATATATAGGCCAGCCTGTTTGTGTGTCGTTTTATTTGCCTTATTACTGGCACGCAGCATATTTAGTGGCTGGCTTAGTGACATTGCCTTATTTATAGTCGCGGCTCCATGGAACACAGGATGGCGATGGCTCAAAGTCCGGGGGTCTAGTCGCTCATTAGCCCGTCTACGTGTTGGCCATTGCACGTGTCTGCAAAAGTGGGTGGTGGTCAGGTGCAGATGATGGCATCTATGACTCGCTTTTCGAGCAATTTAAACTGGCATTGACTGGTGTTTGTTTGATTTGCGTCGAGTTTTACGTAGTTTCGATGGCTCCGGACATTTTCAATTGGCTTTCCTTTTAACCAGAAACTTTTTAACAAATTAGGTAATTTTTAAAAAATAAGAATATGAAAATAAAGATTTTTTAGGCGGTTTTTTATAATCAAAGATAAATCCACTGATTGGAAATTGTTTATTTTTTGGGCTATAGAAACAATTTATTTTATAAATATTTATTGAATTAATCCTTTTTTTATTGAACAAGGTTAAACATTTTTAAGGGGTTTTTATAATGATTTCTTTTTACTGCATGGGCTGCGCTACAGAAATGATATTGTCTATGTTTTAGCTGTTTGCCGATCTGCAATGAGGCATGCTGATTTATTTTTCTGGAAATTATTTGAATTGTGTCTTGAAGTGTGCTCCCTCCATCTACCATCTAAGTGTTTAACTCCTTTCAGTGTTCTTGTTTTTTCAGTTGATGTTCCATATTTTCCATACCTAAGTCTACCCTCCCCTCTTACACTCAAAATAAAATTAACCCTAAAGTCAAGGAAATCGCCCTACTTTTGTCTTCAAGACAAGCTAGCCCTAAATTTTAGGGTCACATTTTTCTATATTTTTGATTTTTTTTGACGTCATATTTCTAAATTTTAGGGTAATTTTACTAAATTTAAGGGCAAAAATTTCTAAAAAGTAGGAAATTTTCCTAAAAAATAGAAATTAAAAACAAAACAAAGAAACATGTTCAATCATGATTTTTTTTGTATATACGTTTGTATTATGTACTCCTCCCTATATACATATGCAGGCGTTGTGTGTCTTGTATATTGTGAATGTTAAAGGTTATGTATTTATTATTATGTATTTGCGCTTGGATTTCTTATCTAACCAAAGCCAAATGTGGTTGTAAATGTGGACTACGGGACTGCGGAAGATTGGGAATGTAGAAATTATGATTAGTTAATATTTTATCTTCATGAAAAAAACTTACAATTTTTACTTGTCCGTCGTGAGAATCGAACCCGGGTCTCCCGCGCGAGGAGCGAACGGCCTACATACTGGGCCATTGTAGCACATAAATAAGTTGTGGCAAACCGAGCATTGTATGTAAAGGGTGAAGCGGACAACACATTTGAATACTAATTGCATAATTTTGACCATTCGCGTTTTACTTATTTACATACGTATATACATATGTATATATTTATGCTAACGCAATTTATATTATGTGTAGTATATAGTAAATAGCTGAATATAAACCTAATTATTTTCAGTTTACCGCTTGCCATCAATAAAAAAAGGAATAAAAAAAGTAAAAAAATAAATAAAAAGAAAAATAAAATAACATTAAAAAAAAATTATAAAAAAAAAGGTAAAAAAAATTGGCTCTGGGACTCGAACCCGCGTCGATTCGATTGCTAACCAAGTGCTTTAACCGTCTGCGCCACGGGTACAGCCGGCCGGCAGTTGACAAGTTCTGGCATTGAACATTTTGGTGTGCCAGAGCATGTGAAAACAAATATTTCTATTTTTTAGAAAAAATTTCTACTTTTTAGAAAATGTTTCTATTATTTAGGGTTGGTTTCATTTTAGGGTTAGGGCACTAATTTTTAGAAAAGGTGTTGCCAAAATATTTTATTATTTTCGTTTGCCTTTCTATTTTTCAGAAAATAATTTCTAAAGTTTAGGACATTTTTTCTAGATTTTAGGGTGATTTTAGTTCATGGTTTCTACATTTAAGAAAAACTTCCTAGATTTGAGAAAAACTTTCTTGACTTAAGAAAAATTTCCTTAGATTTAGAAATAACTTTCTTGTATTTAGAAAAAAGAAATTTTTAGGGCGATTTTCTAAAATTTAGGGTTAAATTTATTTTGAGTGTAACAACTATATATTCTCCTATTACTTGCTGTTTAACTGTTTTTAGTTATCATATCCTAACTGTTAACTGTTTTACTCCGATGTGCGTTTATGCCTTTAACTAACCAAAAAAAAGAAAGGAAATTGGCAACCAACTATGTTTCCCATTGATGTTGTAATTGATGACAAGAAAGTACTCTTGAAACCCAAACTCAAAATTCATTATTCGGTTTGATGACCATATATTTGATTGCTTTTGCATTAGACGTTACTCTTGTGATGAGTTGTATTGTATGCTTTTGGAAATATATATAAATACTCTAAAGATATGTGTACTCCCCCTTAACCACAAACGAGAGACGATCTCACACAGCCCAAACTAATCACAGAACTGTATATATTTTCTATGCATCTGTCCCACAACCACAAAACCCAATCGCCACCGCCACCGCAACCGCAACCACTGTGTGTGTGTGTTGTTGTCGTCGTCGTGCTATCCGTGCTATCGTTGTCACTCGATCTCCTCCTTCGAAATCCAAATCCAAAAGTGCGCCCAAGGACGTGCCGCCTGGTTGGAGAGGGGCAGACGCTGCAGCGTCCAGGATCAGCAGCAGCAGCAGGCCACCTGCCATCGACGCTGGGTGAAGCGGAACCGAGTAAGTGTTACTGCAAAGGACCGCCTAGCGCCGTGTATATAGAATACCAGTACTTCCCGTAATTCTGCCTCTATTTGTAACCCCCAAACCCCATATTTCTATCACTCGCTCTCCTAACCACTCTCACACATCTTTCATGCACCACTTTCTCAATGTTCAGCGCATTCTCTGTTAGGTGAAGCAGGCAGCAGATCCTCATTTTTAGTAACCTAAGAAGTCATCATCTTTGAGCCCAAGTTTGAGTTAACTTTGAGTTTCATAACAGCCCCCTTGATTAATGACGAATTTTTTTAGGGGCCACAACAAATCTTAAACTCCAGGAAGGCAAACTGAAAAATATTCTTATCACACAAAAATCATAAAATGATTTAAATCACTAATATAGCATTTTGTTTCCCCACATGTTAATCTTTATAAAAAGAAATGTATTATAATAATTGTAGGAATATTTATGTGATCTTCAAAATATACATATATGGGCAATTCTCTGGGGATGTCAACCAAGCCAAAAAGCGTAAAACTTGAAAAAAACATATTTCTACATGATTTTGCACTGATATTTGATTCTAGTTAGATGGATCCTCAACTAAGCTAAGTAATATGAGTATCCTTGGATAATTTTACAGGGTAATACCGGTTATATGGACAAAAAAGTCATTTTTTGGTATTTTTTTAGTATTTTTTAACCACCTAAGAAAATGACGGAAAAAACTGTCGCGTGCGACATGTAGCGTGTGACAGTCACTTCGATACTAATAAAAAATTAACCACTCAATATTTTGAATTCAAACCAAATACATTTTAAAGAAGAAAGACCAAGGAACACTATGAAATTAACTGCATTAAAATATTCCTTAACGTTTCGTTACAATCGAAAGTTAGGCAGGAAGTCAAAAAAGTAACTTCTATTCTTGTCGCGTGCAAAAGCCTTGGTTTTTTTTATATATCTTAAAAATGAAAAATGTCCCAATGTCACCCCTAGCACATATTTTAGTGCTAATCAAGACCTTTAATTTGAGCCTAGTGCCAAAGGAAAAGAAGTACTGGAAGATAGTATTTTTCACCTGCAAAGCGTACGAACGTCGCGTGCAACAGCAGAGAATTGCCCATATCCAAAGTTAAAAATAAGACTGAATTTCAATTTTAAAAGATTTTATTCATAAATTCCTTAGGCTTCGCTTAGAAGTCGAAATATAATTACTAAATTATTTAGATACACACCTTGAACTCAAGACAACATTTAGGTTTGTCTTCCTCGAGTTGATAATAATTTCACCAAATCTATGACTCAGATCTTTATAAATCATTTACTGATAATGCGCATTTGAATTAACAGATCCAAGATGCCTCCTTGGGCGGTTCGTCGGACGATGAGGATTTCCTGGGCGTCCTGCGAGGTCCCAGCACCTTTGCGAATGCCTTCCTCTACGTGGGTCTCGGCACGGTGGCGCTGGGCCTCGTCATCGCATTCGTTGGCACCGGCGAGAAGGGCTTCAAAACCACGGAACTAAGACTTATAGGCCCCTCTCTAATAGGCAATACAAATAGTTGATTGATCTTCGCACTTTGGCATAGACTAATGGTTCGTTTCTCTGCAGGATTGGGTCTGATCTGTTGCATTTTACGCATACTCTTCTGCATCTGTCCATCGCACTGCATTTCATCCAGTAAAAAGACGCGCAAGAAAAACGGCAACAAGATCGATGCGGATCACACGACGTCGTTGCTCAGAAACGAGAGCAAAAGGGTGTCGATAGCGAGGGGACCCAGTTTTCAGGTGGGTTTGGTATTAAAATAATACAAATATTAAAATAACAATTATACATTATTTCATCGTTTAGCCCAAATATCCCATAGCACACAAACGCAGCCAGAGCAAAATGCTCAACGAGGGAATGGAGGCCCTGCGCCAGATAGCCACCACATCCTTGTTCATGCAGAACGAACAGAAGACGGCCATCAATCGTGTGGTGCCGATCATCAACGAACCGGATAGCGGTGGTAAAATCACTATACAAAATATTTAACTTTGGTTTTAATATTAGAATTAATTAATATTTTTATTGATTTAATTTTAAATATGAAAATATTAAATTAAATATTATGGTAAATTGAAATATGATTTTAATATGAAATTCTTATTTTTTATAAAGTAAAATATTTAAAGTAAATATAACTGACATTTTGTCTAACATTTTCTACCTTAATTCAAATACTTCTAATTTAAATCTTGCAATATAATATATATTTAATAAAATATTAAGGTCTTTTATTTAATTTAAACAAGTAATACGAATCTTTAATATGACGTTTTTATTTTTGATGACGAAAAATATTCTAAGTAAATATGACTAAGATTCTTTCTAATATTTTCTACATTAATTCAAATAATTCAATTTAAATCTTGCAATTTAAAATATTTTCTATAAAATATTGCAATTTTTCAACTTGACATTTTATTTTTCCTGTGTTCCCCTTAGATGCGCCACTGGAGATGAAGAAACTGCAAACGGCACTGAATGCCTGCGAGATGAGCGACGAGGAGCAGGATCAGGATCGGGATCAGGAGCAGCAGCAGCAGCAGCAGATTGCCAAACGTACAACAGCCACAACTGCCGTTACGAGTAGTACCACCAAAGAGCCAACATCATCGAGGATAACGAGGGCCACGTCCACCCTGAGCACGGTGGATGAGAAGCCGGACAGCAAGCTGGTGCGCCAGCGGGTGGCCCTGCAGCAGCAACGCCAGCAGCAGCAGCAGAGGCAGCAGCAGCAGGATCAGGAGCATCTACCAAAGTCGCAATCCTTGTCCTCCTCCTCCACGGTCAAGGATTCGCTGGAGGCGGTGGAGGAGACGTCCCTCATAGATGCCAGCAATGAGACCACACCTCCTCCTTCACTGGCAATGCCCAGCAGCTGCAGTACGGGTGCGATACCCCGGCTCAATCGGCCGGGCATCTCGACGGGGGCCACGCCCAAGGTGACGATGACTGCGACAACGACAACGACGACGACGCCCACCATCACGGCCCGGCTGCCCACGTCGCAGTCGCATCCGACGAGCTATGACCTGCCACCGTCGCTGCCGCACACCTATTCCGCAACGGCGACGGTACGCGGACCGCTGGGCATGTCCATGAGCAGCTCCGCCGCATCTGCCACCAAGGGGATCGGCGGAACGGCCTTCACAATGCTGCCGCCCACCACCACAACGATTAGCCTGCTACCGCTCCCTGCGCCACCGAGGGATGTCACAATACCGCACCCTGCGCCAACGAGGGATGCCGCATCTACAGCCACATCAAGTATTCCCGGCCAGGTGCTGGAAACCAGCGGAGCCACCAGTCTAAGTCTGAGCCTAATGCGACCGGCCACCGCATCCGGTGTGGTGCTGGGCGGACTGACCACCTCATCCTTCACCAGCAGCTCCGCGGATCCATACCAAAAATCACATCCGTCATCCGCCGGCTCGGTAATGGGGCGTGGCAGCAGCCTACTGCTTTCACCACCCACAGCGGCAGCGGCGGCGTCGTCATCGAGCAAATTCGAGCCAGAATTGGTGCTCAGTCCGGCTAAGCTTGGCCAGTAGAATTAAATTAAATGGGATTTAGTTACGTCTTTAGTTAGCCACCAGGTCTATCTATATATGTATATGTTTGTCTAGGTTCTAGGGGGTGAGTGTGAGTGAGTGAGTGTTTGGGTGTGAGTGTGTGTCAGAATAAAAACGAGTAGAGTTTAGAAACCTACATATGTACCCTAAAAACTATCTTTTGAATGTGCCACAAGAACCACTTAGAGAAATGAATACCCCCCTCAACTGAAACTATATAAAAATGTCATGTTCTGAAACCGAAATTGAAACCAACAAAATTATAATAAAAAACTACTCAAAATTAGGAATACCAATTGGAGACTCCACTTTTCCATTCAGAACATGACTCTGAATGTCTATATTATTTCGCTTTCAGTGTCTGAACCTGTATATTTCCCGAGGATAAGTCCTCTTTAGTTCGCTAAGCCACTTGATTTCTCTGCCCATCTTTTGGATGTATCATCCACTCTATAGCTATTAGCTAACGACTCTTTCCCTAACACTTTAGATCTGTTCCTCAGGCTTCAAGGTGGCATCGAAAATCGCCCAAGTGCTCAGCAAAAAGTTGCCAACCTGCGCTGTTCTAAGCTATCCCAAATAAAATAAAAACATAGCCAGGGTATTATAAAGTTTGTATACCAAACATATCGTTAACTAAATACACAAACCGAAACTAACACTAACTATATTATGAAAGAGAAGAGGAAACTTGGAGCGGAGACGGTCGACGTCCAAATTGACAAAAATTTATAAGAAAACTGCAAAACCAATTAGATATGTATTGAAAAATGTTAGGGGACCGCTAGACCCAAGCTAAGCTAAATGGCTAGATGCGCAAACAATATCTGGAAAAGGTGCGGGTGCCTCTTTCTTTAAATTCCAAACCAAAGCCCAGGGAGTTCAAAAAGTATTAGGCAATCTTGTAAAAGGCTATACAGAATAAAACAATGAGAATTCTACAATTTTTTAACTTTTCCATGGAAACATCCATGTATTTTTCTAAAATTCCTAAGGCACTTTTTGAAGCTATCACAAAATTTAATGTGAAATAATTGCTTGCTCTTTCAACCGGCACTTCCCCCAGATAAGTGTGCCGTATAATAAATAAAAACTAATATAAACCGAATGCAATAAAATCGATGGTGGCCGTTAAATTATAAAAAAAAGAAACGCAAATAATTAAATGTAACATCCCTGAAACAAAATGTGTAAGATGCATGTACAGCAACCAAAACAGCAGCAAGACATAGAAAGTTATAAAAAAAAACTTTATGAATTAGTATGTATGTATACTATGTGCAGAAATTAAAATGATATAAAAAAAAACTCGTGTGTGAACTTAATTAATGGTTAAATTGGAATTTGACTGCAGATTGGGCGATTCTCACAAACTTCATAGGCTTTATTCGTTACTTTTTTGTGCCTAGTTTAAAAATATTTTCCGTTAGTTAAATAAATTCAATTCAAAGTTTTTACATACATTTTACTTTTGGTTTTCCAAATCAGTGCTAGATGTCGCTTGTAGAAATCGTGTAAGTGTAAACTTTTCCGTATAAAATATGTAGAATGTATAAAATATGTCAAATAAAATGGTAAAGAACGCATAAGGTGACACTTTTTCGACATATTGCTTGGAATAGCCTGTTCCCACGGCATAATACCCAAAGGCTAATAAGTATGGAATAAAAAATCAATAAACAAATCAAGGAAAAATCTTGGATATCTGCTGATCACAACATATTTGAGAAAACCCTCCACCAAAGTAAAGTGAATTTCGCAATTTGAAAAGATATTTTAGTTTATTTCACTTGTATGGGTTTAAACATGTTTTCCAAAGGGATTTTTGTGTGTTTGTAATTTCTTTTTATCTAGGTAAATATATAAGTACAACGTGAAATATAAATTTGTATGCTAGACTTGATTGGGTGGCCTCAGTTAGAGTTATCTGTTGAAGTGAGCTGCCTTTGCTGAGTTCACTAAGCAGTGACATCGATTTCCATCTCGTATCTCGTACAATATCCATGGTCAGCGCTTAGAAAAAGATCTAATATAACAATAATATCGTATCAGTTTTCCTTATATGTGTGTGTGTGTGTTTCTATGTGTGTATTCGTGTACCCATTACCAAAAACATTTCATTAGAATTCAATTCGTTTCAATTTAGTTCTCATCTTATCAATTCAGTCATGCCAAGCTCCAGAGCAGGGCTCTTCTAAAATATCGATCAGCGCTCAGTTCCAAAAATCATCATCATCATTTTTTTTCGTGAATACCTAAAGTCTGGTCTTTGTTTCATTGTTGAGGATCTAAAAGTGCTACACGGTTATATTTTGTCAAATTTATGAATACATATTTTAAATACTTGTTTATCTATATTTGCTGCTGTGTGGGCTCTACTACGGTTTGACATTGAGTTTCTAATTGATTAATCGTGTGTGAATTTCTAGGGATTAACATAGACACCAAAAACATGATTACTTATAGTTGGCTTTTTTCGCTCCTCCATTTTAATAATCGATTAAATTCTTATTGAAATTTGTATTGCTTCACTATAAGCCGCAATAAAGTATATCAAAGGCCTGTTCGGGCGGCATTCTGGGGCATTCCCTCCCCTTTCAGTGCAATCTTTTCTTTGTTCTTCCCTTCCATAAAAATTCCTGATAATGCTTGATTTTTATAACATTCTCGTTTTGTATCCATGTTCGTCGTGGCTGTATCTTTAAGCTGCTAAAAATAAATATTACATGAGACATCCTTTTTTTGTTCGCCATTAATAAAATATCCTTTTAAAATGCCTTTTGCGCATATCTCTGGATAGATATTCTGTCTGTGCTGGTCTAAAAAAAAATTTAAAACTGACCTTTAATTATATTTCACAATATTTTCTTCTGTTATACATTTTTATCACACCAATTTATATGCTGGCGGGTTGTTACTCGTTAAGTAATTGCTATCTTTATCAACTATCTGCAAACACAGATGATACATCTATTTATAACACAAAGCTGATCTTGAAGAGGGCAAAATAGATTGAGTGCGTTGTCAACGCTCACTTTCAACATTTTTATCACCCTTGCGCTTCAGCGAAGCCTGTCTTACATGTCTACCAACTATGAAATGCAAAGTAACCGCCACTGAGTACTCTTAGTACACATTTCACGCATAATATGCTTGGGGCTGGGTTACGCCTCGTTCCTATTTATGTACAAAAGACCGATATTCAGATAGCAAGTACCCTCGTTACTTAGCTACTATCACACACACTGACTGAACTTGTTGCTGCCGCATTGTTGCTGTGTCAGAGAGGTTTTACAACTAGTATCATAGCTATTTTGTGAGTATTGCTTCATTTTTATACAGGGTTTTTGGTTACTCTAGGCTTTTCATCTTACAATATTTATTGAAATTGCTTCCATCTTGATATCTTGCCGTCTTGGGTAGAAATTAAAAGTAGGTTTCAGTTTCGGATCTGAAATAGTTACTGTAATGATTGTGGTAGCAAACGAAATAAAATAAAAAATCATAAGTTCTTGCTAAGTATTTATTCATGTAGTACCCAATTGAAAGTGTAAATATTGAAGAATCCTCCGGGTCGTTCCGAAGTCATTCATTACACAAGTAAAAGTTCGGCATGTCTCCACTTTCAAACGACTTCATGTTCTCTTTCAAATTAAGACTAGAAACTGGATCTTAATGTCTAAACTCTACTTTGATACTGCACTTCTGTATGGCGCGATAAAGTTTCTTAATAAGTTATCAAATGTGTATGGAAAGTTCTCTAACGACTTGCCTGCACAATGTTTGTTTACAGGCATCGAACGAAGCGGACAAGCAGACCCATTTAAATGTGTACATTGTTTTGTGGACATGCCCGCACTTTGATGTAATCGTTTTGTTTGATCAACTTAGAATTGTTGGGAGGGTACAAACAAGTGAACCCAACAAAACCAAGTTAATGGGTTTCCAAAAAAGAACGACAAAATACGAGAGATCGTGTAAAAGTTTGGCATTTTGCCCTAAAAGTTTATGCTATTTTACAAATATACAATATATGCATATGTATATGTATATCGCTTATGATTTGATTTGACTTGTTGATTGCCTACGAGCTAATAATACCTTAGGTTTGCACTAAGATTTCCATATCGTATGTATGTGTAAGTTTATGTGTATAAGTATAGCTATATATAAGTAATGTATACAATTGTATAATATTGCAATTTCCAAATGTTCAGTTTCATCATGATGTTTTTCTTGTATGGTTTGGGGATCGGGGGTGTTTAATGGGTCGAAGGTCGTGGACTGCGGGCGCAATGGTGCCACCCAAATATAGATTACAATATAAAATTGCTTGTCTTCACTTGGTTAGTAATAATATTAGAATTTCTTTTGTCATTTCAAGGGGGTTTTTCGTCGTCCAAAGCGACGTCTCATTTACAAATTTGATCCCTATTCTAATACTACTCGCTACAAATATATATATATATATGTAATTATGTGTTACGATAGAGATTTTTCTTTACTTTTTGTTTAGGTGTTTGTTAACCCAGATTCAAATTTTGTTTGAATTCACAATACATAGTCCGTTTTGTGTTTTTATCTACCGGAACGAATCGCAAAATAAGATACATGTCTCTACATTTGTGTTTTTTTTTGTGCATCAGCGCCATTTGACTTGCATTAAATTGTGTTTAAACGATTTAATATTACTCCAAGCTCCTCTAAGCCATGGCCAAAGGGCAGACAGGAAAAAGTATTTTTCGACATTTCTTAACATTGTAAACAAATTAAAATATAAATTCATTTGATTTAGTTGTTAAGTGCTATAAAAAGTTATCCGAAACAACTTTTCGATTTCAAATAAAGCCATTTTTCGATTATTATCTGATCTAGCATTGTTCTTATTCTAGTCTTGTACTCGAAAAATTCTATTTGACTTTAAATTTACCCTGGAAATAATGTAAATTCTTAAATTATTTAAACCCATGATGAGACGATATAAAATATCACTTTTTTTGGATTTTAGCACTGTTGTTCACATAATCAAAATGAACAAAAAGTATTACTAAGAAAAACAAACTAAAATACACATATGGAAACATTTGTTTTCTTATTGGAAAATGATTGAATAATTATATTGAAGTGTGTGTTTTATATGTTACGTGATTTTTGATATTCTTAAACTATTGTTCGATATTGTTTCATAAAGATTATGTGAGAAAATCATATAAAATGTTTGATTTCGAGTACAAGACAGTAAGATGGCCTTGAGTAGAATCTTCAGTGATTTTTCCTCTTGCTTGCCCTCTGCCCATCGGCGTCTTTAAAACAGGCCCTTGGCGCCGGCAAACTTACGTCGCCGGAATCACATGAGTCATCATTTGAGCGTATTGTAAATGTTATCCTCCCCGGCCAACTCCACGGTCGTGATGTGGGCAGCATGTCTCTCGCCCAGCGGTTCCTCTCCCAGGTACACGGTGTGGTAACTGATGGCGCTGCTCTTCACCGCCGTCGCAGCTCCGTTCACCTCGATGCGACTAACGGACTGTGGTCCATTGACCGAATACTTGAGCGACGCATAGTCTCCATCATCGTCCGGCATATGGGTTAACTGAGTGGCGCCCGAAAAGGTATCCATGGTGTGCGAGGGACAGATCTCCGCGTAGATATTCTCCTTTGTGTAGTCCACGGCCGGAACTGCTCTGTTGGCGGCCTCCGATCGCAGGCAGCCTTCACCGGAAATTACCAGCGAATCGCGCACACTGGAGTACGGAAGATCGTCCTCCACCAGCGAGGCGGGTGAAATCGCCAGATGGTTGAGTCCTCCTCCCAACAGACAAACACCACCGGCTGCCCTTCGTCCGGTGATCGGTTCCTTGGCCATCGATTGTTGCTGCGCCTTCAGCATCATCAGATGACGCTTCTCCTTCTCCGCCTCGTGCAGCTGCAACTTTTGCGGCAACGAAAAGTGACGCAACTGATGCAAACTCGACGATGACTTGCTGTACTGCCTGGTCTTCACATGGAACTCATTGTACAGCTTCTCCGTGATGAAGGACTGTGGCGGCGGTGTCTGGTTCTCCACATCCTCCAGCTCGGTGCCCGCCTCGCTGATTGCATCTGTGTGATTGTGGCTGGCCAGCAGATCGGGACGCGGCTTGCACTGGCCATTCAGCAGTTCAATATCCTGCAGGGACATCGATTTCTGCAGCATTGTGTCTAAGGACTTGGGCTCCATAGTGGTCAGCATCGTGGTCTCGGTGTCCGAGGCAGCGGTGCTATTAAGCGAGATGCCATCCTGTTCGGGCTGCTCGGGATCCGAGCCGAAACGCTCCTGCAAAAGCTTCGACATATCCGTGTAGCGCTCCATGCTCATTCGCTTGGCCTGCTCATCGAGATCCAAGTCAGAGTGCTGCTTCTCCACCTGCGGCTGTTGCTGCTGCTGCTGCTGAGGATTATGCTTGCCGAACCACTTCTTCTTGGTGGACTGGAACACACGCATGCGCTCAGAGATGCGATTCAAACTGGATTCCGACTGAGCTGCAGCCGCCGCCGCCTCCTTGGCCTCCAGATTCTCCAAATCGGATTTGCTCAGGAAGATAATCGAATCCTCTTTCTCGTGCGCTGCTGCCATGGTGCTTTTCTCTCGTCGCAGGATCTTTGGAAAATGCAATGGCTTCAGGATGCGTAGACCCTCACGATTCTTGCTTCCCGAACGTTCCGAGCGCTGAATCAGCTCAATCTCCACCAACTTCAGGAACGGATCGCAGTTGAATTGGCAAAACTTGAGCATATTCTGGACATTCGTGTTGGCCAGCATCCGCTGTTCAGAGTCAAAGCCCAGATAACTTTTTACCAGCTGCATATCCCGACTGGGATAGAACTTCCGCAGCTGCAGGGGCGTCTGGGTGTCCACGTCCTCGATGGAACAGCCCACGACCACATCCTCCTTGGTCACCTGACTAATGCACAGCTGCTCGGGGATGTCGGGTCCACCGGGACCTGAGATATAGCGCAGTGTCAGCGGCAACTGCTTGGCCGCCGTCACCAAAGCACCCAAACGATGCACGCACTCTGGATTCAGCTTGCGCTGGGCATCGCCCAGTTTCTGGAGTAGCTGAGGTATACCCGGCTCAATCTCGTAGAACTTGCCCTTGGTGGACAGTGGGACGTACATCACCTGCCGGTTCTCGTTCAGCAGTTGGGCGTACCGGTTCTTCTCCTTCTCCCTGCCCATGTAACCACTGGCATGCGACTTGGACGCATTTCCGTTGCCATGCTGCGACATATTCGTCTGCTCCTGCTTGCCATCCTCGAAAACGGCCAAAAGACGGAACACCTGTCCTCCCCTGGCGGTCGTTTTCACGTACTGCGGTCGTCCCTTCATTATGGGCAGACAGCCCTCGTGCGTCGGACTACTTGTGCTGTTGGGCGAGGATTCAGTAAAGGCCGGCATGTTGTCCACCGAGGCAAACTTGTAGACCCGTTCGCGAACCAGCTGTATCAGGGATCCGTACTGCGTGGCCGTGGGAAGACCCTTCTCGCTGACCAGCGAAAAGTAACCTGCGGAAGAAGATTAGATTAATTATAAAACAGTCTTTAAATAAAGTAAAACCCTTTTGAAAGGGTACTTTGCACTAACTTAACTTAATTATAAAATAATTTTTAAATGATAAATATAAAATTAATTTTATTTATCATTTAAAAATGATTTGTTGCCTATAAAAAGCTGTGAAATGACTTATGTCCAATTCCATTGATTTTAAAATCTTTTTAAACACGACAGAAATTTAGTCTTTACATAAAGTTAAACCCTTTCGAAAGGGTACTTTGCACTAACTTAACTTAATGATAAAATAATTTTTAAATAATAAGTATAAAATTAATTAAATTTATCATTTAACAAGAGAGAACGCTATAGTCGGGTTGTTGTCCCGACTATCTAATACCCGTCACTCAGCTAAAGGGAGTGCGAACGCTGTGTCGGGTTGGTGTCCCGACTAATAATCGTAACTCAGCTAAAGGGAGTGCGAGGGAGATAGATATATAATTTTTGATTGCGTATAACTTTTTAATGAATGGTCCGATTTGAAAAATGTCTTCTACATTTCGATAGGTATAAATATACACAACAAAATTGCATTTATACTTCTCGGAAATCTTTAAAGATGTGGGCGCAGGACCCATTTTAAAATCGTTAGTGGGCGATTGTGGGCGTTAGAGGGGGCGTGGCGCTCGGCTAAAATAAACTTGCGCTGCGTAGGAAGGCAAAGAATATGTGTGGGAAATCTCAACCTTCTAGCTTTTGTAGTTTCTGAGATCTCAGCGTTCATACAGACGGACAGACAGACAGACGGACAGACGGACAGACGGACATGGCTAGATCGACTCGGCTAGTGACCCTGATCAAGAATATATATACTTTATGGGGTCGGAAACGCTTCCTTCTAGCTGTTACATACTTTTGCACGAATCTAGTATACCCTTTTACTCTACGAGTAACGGGTATAAAAATTATTTGCTCCCTTTAAAAAGCTGTAAAATGACTTATGTCCAATTCCATTGATTTTGAAATCTCTTTGAACAAGACAGAAATTTACGTTTCAGCCACTAAACAAATCTGTTTACTGTCTAAAATCTTAAAAACCATTTTTCCGACAGCTGACAGCTTTGCATAGTACACGATTTGCAATCCAAAAATGAGAACAATAAAAATAAAACAAATAACGTGACGTACGGCTGGCCGTAATATGTACCTTAAAGTGGACCATAAAGCAGTGATATATTAAATAAATTTAAAATTAAAGTATAAAGAACGACAGCAAAGTACAACAAAAACATTGAATGCAATTAAAAGTTACATGTATCAAAGGGTCTATTAATCATTCCATTTAGTTTAATTCGCGCCACTGAGTTCAAATTATAGAAATACAACCACAAAAAATTGATGGTACAGAGACTAATGCAATCAATGTTGAGAGCAATTGAATCAACACAAGGAAAATCCAATATGGACGTGCAAATTGAATCACTCCAATTTGCCATCCATTTTTTTTTGATGCCGAACAGTGCAAGCCTAATGAATAAAATGATAATACCCAGCGTCAGTGAGTCTATAAATTGGCAGATTGCATAATATTTGCACACATTGGTTTACATTGCGCCTCGCCAAACGGCTGTGAAAAGTCACATGGCGTAGCGAGTTGAAACAATGGCTGAGTTGACCGCAGTTCGGTGGATCAGGAAGTGGGTGGTGGTGGTGGTGGTGCTGGTGGTGGGCCACCGAAGAAGTCACCACTGACTGACTGGCGGACTGGGCCAAAAATGAGCAGTACTGGAACCCCATTGCATAACACGCCTGATGAGCAATAGTTTTGATTACTTTTCATTGTTGAACTGTGACTGTGTCACGCAAATCGCTAAAAATAAAAACGAAAAAAAATAGCAGAGTGCGGGATACATGTGAATGGATTGTGTACTTAGTAACCTCGCACTGGAAGATCACAGTTCGCTTGGGTGACTCACTAAGTTAGTTACTTAGTTACGACTGGACCGTGTAATCAGGCTCAAGTAAGCATCTAAATGCATTCGTCATGAGAACAGTACTAAATTGTGCCTTTAAAGAACTCCGCGTCTGGTTTATGTAAATGGGCATACGACTATAATCTACCGTGTTCGTGCCGAATCGGTCACAGGGTTTTTGAAATCATTCGGTTATGCCCTTAGCTACTGCCAATCAGCGCATCAATCGGTGGGTCATTCAAGTTAATTTACTGTGAGCGATAAATTAACCTCCCGCAATGAATTGACGACTTGCTTGGGGCCGCCCTCGTCAGAGCCAACTTGTAATTAGAATTAGCCGCAACTGAGTAAGGCCAGTTTCAGTTGTTCGTAGGTGAAAATTCTTCTCTCAATTCAACTATGAAAATTGGTTCTAGAATTTTTTGAATGTAATTACTTTACTCAAATCATAGCTGGTAATTAAACAGCATTCCTAATAAACCTATGAGACCAGGTGCAATCATTTTTAATTCTTGTTAAAATTAATTTAAATAGTTAAACTAATTTGGGTTGAATTATTGTAATCTAAATTATTTGTAAATTGCACGTGCCAAATGTATTTTTATTGACTACACGATTTTAGCTAATTCTTTAAATTATTAGAATCATTTTATTATATTTGTTGTTCTAACAGATTAACAATTTACTTTTATAAAAACCAAAATAAAAAATTAAAATTAACTTTTACAGAAAATCGTTTGATTTAATAATTAAAATTTCTATCAAGTTTTATCATTTCTCTATTAAAAATTAATCTATTAAAATCCAAAACAATTTGGCTTTGCATCGCAATTAAATCATCAATTTCCAAAACTCACCCGGAAACTCCTGTGGAATGAGCACAGTCTTTTTGCGCTGCGAAGCCTGAGTCTTGGCATTGTGTCCGTGGTAGATGTTGCGCTGTCGCACCAGCCTGTAGAGCAGAAAAAGCTCATCGTGGCCGGGTGGGGTGCCACCATTGCTGCTGTGGCGACTGTTGTTGATTTGGTGACCAGAACCAGAACCAGAAACAAGACCAGGACCCGGACCAGAGCCAGTTCCGTTTCCGGTGCCGCTTCCTCCGCTGGACGATGAATGGGTGCCGGTGTCAATGTTGCCACTAGAAATGTTTCCACCACCACCAACTACCGGATTTGCTCCCGTCGAGGAGCTGCTCGATGCCGCCGTGGAGGAGCCGTGCGAGGAGCTGGACTGCAGAGTTTCGTTGGAATTCTTGCCCGCATGCAAGATGCGGACGACACGAGGCAGGGAATTCCGCTCCAGAAACACATCGGCGGGCAAAGCTTCCTGCTGCGACTGGAAGACAATTTATTTATTAGTTAACAAGCTTATTTTTAAATTTTTATATAAAAATAAAATAAAAGATAAATATGTAAATCATCATTAAAATTTATTAAAATTTATTGTAAATCAAACAATTAAAATATCAACCGATTAAAATTTAAACTGTTTCCAAGCCAGAAGTTAAATTGCAATGAAATTAATAGCTTGAGGTTTTGTGGCAACGACAGATTTTTCAAGAGATAAGAAAACCAATTGACGTCATAAATTGTACACTTCGTGGAATTATTTTTGAAATATTACATTAAAACAAAATGAAAGCAATTAAATGGGTATATTACTACACAGAGAAAAAAAGACAAAAATAGTCATCAATCGGGTATTTTTCATATCAATTTTGGTCCCATCTGTGTTCATATCAAAATGATATTTCCGAACATATGATTTTGTACCATATTGATATAAAATCGTACCATTTTGTTATGGAAAAAATGATATGAAACAATATCAGTATCTTATTTTTCCGTTTTTTTCTCTGTGTATATACTGATTACAACTTTTTCTAGGCTGAAAACTTTTCTTTAAGTTGATTCGAAATTCGCTTGAAAGAGATTCCTGTAAACGATTAGGTTTTTTTTTGCTGGTGCCTCTAATGTAAATTTGACTTAATCTTACTTCACTGCTGCCCTTGGAGGCCTTGCTGTCGCCGGTGGAGTAATCGCCGCTGCCATTGATCCCGCCACAGAATCCGGAATAGCCGACGCCCCCCGCTCCGGACGCCAAGCCGTAGGTGCTGTTGTTGGTGCTGCCGCGCAGGCGTCGCGCCAACCGCTGGTTCAACTCGATCTCATTGCGGCGGGCCAGGCGGGCGTTCTCGAAATCCGCCACCGAGAACATATTGGAGCTGGTGTCGTGGGAGTTGAAGCGCCTTAGCTTGGGCTTGCGCGCCCCGGCCGCCAAATGGTGGCCGTGATGGGCGCCAACGGCTGCTCCACCTGCAAGAAAAAATAGAGGGAAAAAATTGGATAAAATTAAGGTAGGAAAAATACAAGAAACGCAACGAGGGGGAGTAAAGAGTAGTAGCACATTGTGCATCGGTGAGGTAATCGCATATATATAAATGCACATGTGAGTGTCTAATTGCCACCCGTTGTCTGCAGTGGGAAAAACCCACACACCGTCGTATCAACTTCCACATCTACAGCTCTGTATAGTGTAGTATATTCCCCAAGCGAATTTCAGTTGTTGGCGTGACGCAACAAAAAGGCAAGTGGTTCAAAACTGTTGCTAAGCGCAGCTAATTTTCAGTCAACGGTCAACGAGACGATGACACACAGTGGGCAAAATATCACCACAAAGCGGAACCGCAAAATTAACAAGAATTTTCGCAATAGTAGAATGAATGTGTGTCGAAAGATCTTGCGCTGAATTTTAAGTGGGGAAAAATCGAACTTTTATTGTTCAAGACCCAGCCATTTATAGACCAAAATAACTTAAAAGTACAGAGTACTGAATAGCTGAATGGCACCTGTACACCACATTCTTGGTCTCAACTTTGTAACACAACGTTTCAGGGCTAAATATAAATTAAATAAATAGTATCACAAAGTTTTGTAAATCTTATATAAATCGTAGTTCACATGGTTCGTAACTACCAAGAAATAAAATTAAAATATCATGCAAATACTAAACACGATTGTTTATTTACCATAGTAGTTTATATTTAAAGCTAGCTAAATTTGCTTTATTTGCGTTCGGTTCCATAATTCAAAGTTTACTAATCAGTATATATTTGCTTGTTATAACAACGTCTACGCAAACAAATTTGTCACTAACAAGACTTTATTTGCAATACAAATATATTGACTATCAGCTAATTGATACTCAATTTTTGCCATTGACGTATTCTTATGGTTCATTAAAAATAACTGCATTGCTCGTTTAGCTTATGACAAGTTTGACAATTTAAAAAATATATATTTGATTTATTTCTAAAAGATGTTGTTATCGAAACAAAGTCAAGGAGGTCAACGTCCTATTGTAAGCTATTATCAAAGCCATTTCATTATCGATTAGGTCACGTCATTCCGTATTTCCGGTTTTTTGATTATTTTTTGTTTGAGCTTTAATGAAGAACTTTTTGTGTTGTTATATTTGATTGCGCAGCCCCTGCACTCGAGTTAATATTAAGGAAGAACCTCAAAAAACCTCGAGACTATGAGGTCTACGACTTGACATTTTTAAGATCAAAAGTTATTTTGGGCACGAAAGATCGGATCGAAATCGGATATCGAGGCATTAATGAAAGAGTCAACAACTGGAAGCGATTAACGGCGAAAAGCAACGCAGACAACACACAACAAGATAACACCCCCATGGGCAAAACATATTATTTTCGTTATCGGGCCGACATCGAAAAAAGCAATTGTCTGTCGCCCCAAACAATGAGCCTGAAATCACTTAGCAGTTTTTTTTTTTGCTGTATCTTTTTTTCAGAAATATTTGAGTGAACGGGTGAACTGAACTTCAAGCGGTGCAATTAAAAAGAGATATCGCGATTTTCGATTGCTCATTGTTCGATTGGGGCCCATGGTGCGATTTGGATCCGCTGCTACTACCGCTGATTGGTGGTCGACGGCGCATTACTCACTTTAATTGCGCACATTTGGCTTAATTTTTCGCCCCACACACAACACACATTTAATAAATGCAGGCGAGGGCAAAAATCACAGCATAACACCGGGAAGGGGCTAAAACGTTTTGTGAAATTGCTCTTATCTTTTGTGAAATATCAATTGCAGAGTCCGCGAGTGAGCGAGAGAGTATGCGAAGCGGAGCGCGAGTGAGAAAGAGAGGGAGAGAATGGGTATGGGTGAGGGGGTGTGTCATCGTCACGTTTCGTGTGAAATTATGCGAAGCGACGCGCGCGCCTCGGCAAAAAACAATCACCATAGAGTCGACACAACCACCAGAAAAAGCTTTCTTCTGGTAACGAGGCTTAGAATACCCTGCCATGAACCTTTTTTCTAATCTTAAATTTAATGATAGGTTTAGGATCTCTTTCTTGTAAATGCATATGAGCATATAGTCGATACATTACGTTTGTAAGTTTACATGATAGGTAGACTGTTTTTTGAACTACCAAACATATTATTTCATAGTTGTGTTTTATAAGATCACCCTTATCATGAAACGATAATACATTTAAACTCAGTAAACCCTTCACTGATTGCTTTCCCAAACGCAAAGAGGGACTATCACTTAAAATCTTAATTTTTCAGAGTGCTGACGGTTCTTCCATCCAAACTAGCTGGTCATAAAAATAGCACATGTTTCGGTTTTCACTTTCGAATGTTTTGCTCGAATTCGATTTGCACAAAAATAAATATTTATACGATTTGGATTCGCTTTTCCTAAAGCTAAGTACAGTCAAGTTTCAATAAGACAACCTACCATTAATGCCACCCAATTTTGTTTTATTAAAACTTTAATTAAATTATTCCTTTCTTGGATGCGAAATATCTAGATGTGGAGTTTTATAACTCGGCCATTTCTCGGCGGTTTCAGTTATTGCGGTTACACTGTACATGCAAACTTGGCTCATTTATTACATGTCATAAAAATCTAGAACAGCGAAACTTTTGCCGAATATGACGCAGGAAATGCACTCATTAAAAAAAATATAAAACTTTACTGCTTGACTTGGAGCCAAAAACGGTAGCTTTTTCAAAATTATAACGTTTTTAAACCCACTTTGAATTGTTTACTTTTTACAACAGCAAACTTATGGTCTAAATTACCATACTACATTGCAAAAATAGTAGGTTCATGCTTGACTTTTAAATTAAACAACTTTAAACTTGCAAAATATTATATTTTTAATAGGAATTATATTTACCCTACTATTTGTGAAAATAGTTAATATTTAATTCATTAAAAAAGGCACGAAATTGATTCGGAGAAATCTAGAATGATTCAGTATCATAGCGTTATCAACAAGATGGTCTAAATTAGCATACCCGATAAGCAGGGCATCCTAAAAAGCAAAGGCGACGTCATTGAGCAAACAATACCCCTCTCTCTCTCTCTGCTCTCGCTTGTTTGGAGCGCGTGCCTTGTCTCCCGCTCCCGCTAGCCCACCTCTCCCCCCTTCTCGCTCTATCCGCGCTGAGCTTACCGTTACATGCAGCTGCAGCTGCGACGCTGTTGTTGCTGGGTGCGCCCGCTGCTGTTGCGGCCCCGCTGCCGCCCACTGTGCCTGCGCCTGTGCCACCCACTGTAGAGCCAGGATTCGCTGCTGTTGTTGTTGCTTCGGATGCTGCAGTTGTTCTTGTTGTTATTCCCTCTGCCGCCGCCGCACTGTTGAGTAGCCATTTGGCCAGGCGCTTCTGCCGCTCCGCGAACTCGATATTGCTGCACTGCATTCCGATTCCGGACGGCTTGAAGGTCTCGTTCATAATCGCAATCAATCAAACCGAAAAAAAAGAGTGCGCGACTGCAACGAGCAACGCGTCGTCGCCGCGGTCGAAACGAATAATCCCAGTACTACGTCTCGCGATGTCGATTTTCAGCGGCCAAATGAGCTGAGCGGCCGAGTGGCAGAGTTGTCCAACTGCAGTAGCGCCCTCCTCGATCGTTGCTGCTGCTGTAACGAGAGAGCGCCAGAGCGGGAGAGAGAGAGAAAAGCGTGAGAGCGTGGCGTGTGGAGAGAGTCGGGGAGAGCGCAAAAGCGCGCACAGTGGGCAGCGTTTACATAAGCGAGCGGCGGCGGCAGTGGGGCCAGCGGAATTCGGATTCGCACAGTGGCCTCAATCTGGCAGCTGGACACTCTCACAATTACCTGCCACACACAGGCTTCTTTATGAATAATATTTAACAAGCTGCCCGATTTTGTTTGGCAAATATTCCTTTGTTATTATCCAATACCTACTTATTTATTGATTTTTGTTTGGGCAAAGTAATGAATCGGACATTAGTACAGTGTGTCAGCTAACCGGGCTTATGAATAAGGCAAATTTCTAAATCATAATTTTTTCAAAAAAATAAAGAATGAATAGTAAAAACTTTTAAATCCAATGAAACTAAGAAAATGTATTAAAAACCAAGTTTTAATGAAAAGCGATTCAGAAAACTTAAAAGGAAAAAATATAGAATTCTAGAAACATCCCAAAATGTCACTCTGTAAGTGAATACATATTACTTTAAAGCCAGCATTAAATTTAAGCGATTTTTAAAATTCATTATTGTCGATTATTTAATTATCAATTAATATATATTGACTAAATATATATATTTAAAAAATGTATTTACATTTGCTTTTATTGAAACAAATATTATCTTTAAGGCTAATGATCAATGAAAGAACAGACTGTGCAAACTTTTTAAAGAGTTCGTATACCCCCACTCTCGGGTGTAACAACAATTGCGAAATGTGTAAAAAAAATTGAGCTTTACAAAAAAAATCTAAATCGCAATTGAGATGGTTGTTGTTATGTGTGTGAGCTAGCTGTGCGTGTGTTGCGCATAAATTAAAATTGCGATGACGATGACGACGTTATCAGAAAAGTCAGCTCGCGCTCTTCTTCTCTCGCTCTTTCGCCCGTTCGTTGCCTTGTTCAATGTCGCCGCACCTTTTCAGTCTTCTACCGCCCACCACCCACTTCGCCACCCCCCGACCATGCCCCAGCCCCACCCACTTCGCCTGCAACCGCGTAGAAAGCAGAGCCAGTTCGTCTGGCACTGGCAGCAAAAACAACAAGCGCGCGTCATCTTCAAACGTTATGCGACAACGTAATCGGCGCGATTGTTAGAAGAGTGAGCGAGATGGACGGTGAAGAAAAAGAGACGGGGATAGAGAGAGGGGGTGGCAGCTTTTTCACTCCCATGGGCAGTCCACGTTCAGTTCAGTTGGGGACTTTGTAAATTAATTCTTCAAAATTAAGCAATTAGTCCTTTAAATGGTGACAATTTGAAAAATAATTTTTTTCGGTGATAA